CTAAGCCACTTACAACTTCTATTTTAGTATAACTGATTAAAATATTTAAAAGAAAGTCGGTTACTGCTATGAAAATAGAATGGGAAGAACTATATACATAAATAAAGAATAAAACTATACTAATAAAAATAGAAAAGAAAAATTTTATTCATCACACTATACATGGTTAATTTTCTTGTGCTTCATGATAACTGATAAATTGAAACTACTGTATAATTATTTTTATACATGTTACTCTGGTTATATCGACACCTCAAAAAATAAATTGAGACATTTTCATATTAAATATATAGGTTCAAAAATTAAAAATATCGTTATAACAGATGTAGGCATATCCAGATGTCGATATAACCAGTGACGTGCATAACGAGGTCTGACTGTATATTATCTGGCATGTTCACCAATTCTTTATTATTGCTTTAAAATTGCTAGTGACATGGCCTGCTTCTTTGACATCATTGCCTTGACCTCTTTTTTAATATTTTGCTTTAGTATAACCCAGATCTGGGACAAATATGGTGATTCATAAACATCATTAACTGTGTTATAAAATCTAGCATTGATGCTCATACATATATATTTGTTGCATTGTAATATAAGGCCATATAAAGTAATTTTTTGGTTTTCATAGCATAAAATTTTAAAAAGAGTGACTATTATTATAACAATTTAGGCCAAGCAAAGTTAATTTTTGGGTTGGCTGGGTCAAATTTTGCTAAATTATTTAAGAAAAAAATTTTAGATATATTTACTATCTGGGTTGTTTTTTTACAAAAATTTTATTTTTAATGAATTGTTTCCGGAACCAAGAAAAAAATTACACCTAAGATTAACGTTGAATTTCTATCATCGCTCACCAATTCAGATCATATCAGTATAAAGTTAATTATATACTTTTTTAAGCAATAATTATACTTGCCAGCAAACTTGGACAAATCCCAAACTTCAAAAAAAACAATTACTAGTCACAAAGAATTAAATAAAAAAATAGGGTTGTCCAGAGTTCAGGATTTGGCATGGATGAACCTAAACTAGATGGTTGGAAGCATAGAGATTTTATATAACTATAGAGTTATATGAAATGCTCATTATATAAAACATATATATATTTTTGCTATATGCTCTAAATTGGGTTCAGAAGTGGTACAGAAAACTCGTAATATAGATTAATATAACGTTTTTTTCGTATCAATTAAAATGTGATAAGTTTCAAGTGAATTTCAAATTTTGTGATTTTACCCGGCTATCGAAATACATCGAAATAGGCTTGCTGCATCATTAAACTAGTGATTTTGGCCGATCAAAATTTTTCGGCTATGACTTAGCCGATAAATTTACCAGCTTAGCAGATTTTAAAATTACACCATTTAATTCGAACTTTACTGAAAATTTTTTGACCTCAACCTTGCTCATATTCAATCCTAGTAATAAAATCGATCAAAAAAAACGACCTGCTAAGCCGATAATTTGCTTTTAGCCGATTTTTTCACTATCGGCCAAGATCACTACATTAAACTTTGTTAAATTATCTATAGAGTAGGTTGGCTAGGTACTATTGCTTGATGCCGGATCAACTCGGATGAATTCCGACCCTATATTTTGATTGATTTGCTAAATTTTTTTTGTGCCTAGTAATTGTCTGGAGCGAAGCGACAGACTTATATTTCTACGTCCTTTGATACCAAAATTTGTTTTTGATATATTTATATTAAAAATATCAAAAAAGTAGTTTTGGCATTTTCTGTCTGTCATACTTAGTTTTTATATAGTAAAGTCAAAATTTTACTAAGTAAATCGTTTCTGTCAATTAAGTAAAAATTGTTCAGAAGATCAAGATACATATATCCTGAAATTTTTCTAATGTTTTATTAATATGTTTTTGCAATTTATGTTAAAAAAATCAATTAAAACTTTTTTATAAATTTTTATTTAATAACAATAAAAAGTAAATATCAAATAATAAAAATTATCGTAATTATATACGTAAAAATTTCAGGATATATGTAATTTGATTTCCTGAACAATTTTCACTTAATAGGCTTAATCGATTTACTTAGTAAAATTTTGATTTTACTATATAGAATATATTATAAATTAATTAAAAAACATTATTTTTATTTGAATTATTTTAAAAAATAATTTATTTTTAGAAATATATGATACTAATGCTCCAGACATATACTGGTTTCCACATACCCGTCAAGCGGATTTTAAGAATCATCTAAATTTCTGACATTACAACGAATACTTATATATTTATAAGATTATAACGCATATATGTCTTTATTTCAAAAAATTTTTGCCATTGTCAAAAATTATGTCTTGACTTCCCTTACATAGTTACCTAATAAAATTAATTTCGTTAATGAAAAAATGAAAACGATATAAAAAAAACATTTATTGTTCGATTTTATACCTCGAAAGACAAATACTTCCTTAATAGGTATAAAGAAAGATTAAATAGATAAATTCACTCACCAGGAAATTCACCTACAGCACCATGTAATCTACCCACCCACCAATCATTAGGCCCATCTCCTCTCTCAAGTACTTCAATAACATCACCTGCTTTAAAACTCAAATCATTTGCCTCTTTTCCCACATAATCAAACATTGCT